GTAACTCCATTTTATACTTGTATACCTTGCATTTTTTTAGATATTCTTTCTTATGATTAGCACACTTAGCGTGTCTCGTTGTTCATACATTTTTCAGTAATTTCAGTCAACTTGGAGATTTTCAGGTGTTTTCCTAGATTTGTATACAGATACCATAATTTCTTAGTTTTTTCTAATTCTGGATCCGCTCAGATGATGAGAGTGGAAAGCTGCAAAGCCTATACAGTGTGAAAGCATTCATTAAATTGCAGTACTTCTAAGTTATATTACCTCTTTCATTAGTACTGCATGAATGATTGCAATTGGGAGATCAAAGGTTCATAGCTCTGTGTATTTGGAAATCAGGATTATCTTTCTTTCCTAGAACATCATATAAATCTGAATGTAGGATTAAGTGACTGAAGGATAAATCATTCCTAACTGTATGGCTTTAATGTGAGGTGTCCTTAAAACCAGGCAGAGATTATACTGATTTTCTGCCCAAGAATCTGAGTGTAAGTGGCATTGATCATAATATTCAAGAGGTAGATGAAATACTCACAAAATGCTAAGAAAAAGAGGTATTTTCTGTATATCATACATGGTGAAAGCCTTTCACATGTGACACCAAGAGGTGTGTAGAAGAATAAAACAACAGTATTGATACCCGAGTTGCTCAATTGGAGTAGGAAACACTGTTAGCATCTTTGATACACATCATCTTTTGGGGGGATCATATTTCTGCAGGGAAAAAATGTAAATGAATGATATCTTACCCAAATCAATGAAAAGGATCTGGAATGGGAAAAGTTAACTTTTTAACATAGCGTGTCCAGAAGTACTGAAACAAAGAATATATGCTACAGGACTAAGTAATTGAAGCTAGCAGATGAGCAGATCTTATGGTGATATGTCTCTCTGGACAGACTCATCAAATCACTGGTAACTCTAAAAAAGATCCGATTATGGAGGCTCCCGCCCCTGTACTTGGCATTGGTGAGGCCTCACCACAAGTACTGTGTTCAGTTTTGGGCACCTCAATACAGAAAGGACATTGAGGTGTTGGAGCAGGTGCAAAGAAGGGCAGCAAGGCTTGTGTAGGGCTTGGAGAATATGCTCTACGAGGAGAGACTGAAGGAACTGGGGCTGTTCAGGCTGGGGAAAAGGAGGCTGAGGGGAGACCCTATTGCTCTCTTTCAACATCTGAGAAGTGCTTACAGCAAGAGCAGGGCTTGTCTTTTCTCACTGGTGACAGGTGACAGGATGACGGGAAATGGCCTCAAGTTGCACTAGGGGAAGTTTATGTTAGTTATGAGGAAAAACTTCTTTACAGAAAGGGTTGTTAAGCACTGAAATAGGCTCCACTTCATTGGGCTCACCTTCTGTGAGTTCTGTTTCCAATTTTTCTGATGTGTAAGATTCGGATCACTAGAACACATTGATTCCTTTTGGTTTCTGTGGTCCATTAATATTCACTTTTTTTTTTTTCCTTCAGTAAAGATAATTTTACTGTGAGCAAGTCACCTTTGATTTTTCTCCTATGATATAGTGACAGTCTCAATTATCTATGAACATTTTTCACTTCTTCCTACTCATTGTTGAGGCTCTTTTCTTGATCATATTCAATTTTCAAAGCTGTTTTTAAAATACAAATATTAACAGTTATTTAGTTATCTGAATGCTAGTGTGGCTAAACCCACAGCTGTAACTTCAGTAACTTTACCTTGCTGCAACTAGTAATTGCTTTTCCCTTTATCTGCCTTTAAGGCATAGTAGGACCCCTGACCCTACATTTGAGCTTTTTGTCCTCTCTCCCATGAGAATGGTTCAATGTCTCTCCTTAGCCTGATGGCTAGTATATTTTTACTGGACAGCTTGTTCAAACATTTGAGCACGCAGTCACTTTTTTTTTTTGACCACTTTTTCACTTTGTGTGCTCTCAGCTTATATGATTTGTAGCAACTTTCCCCACCAACACTATTGTTATCCAGCCAAAACTTGCTGCCTTGCTCCAGTGAGATCTGATCAGCTGAAGCATGGGCGAAAGGAGCTGGCAATCATGGAAAAACACACATACATCAATCTAAGCTATGCCACATAAAAAAGTATGTACAAAATTATACTGTGTAGCACTGGTCCCCTGGTTGGTGTATCACATGGCACAAAATAAAATGCCTTAGAATGTTAAGTCTGTGATAAACTGCCTGGTAGTTATCTCTGTTCCTGCATTTGTTATCTCTTTACAGTATGAAATGAGACTTGGGTAGGCATATATCCCACAAAAACAAGCCCAAACTTATTTTCTGTTCTTCAAGACTTTAGCAGTGCTCTGTCCTTACTTGCTCTGGCATCCATGTCATATTGGATATGTCATATCTATGTAGTGATTTGCTTTCTCTGGTGACAGTGACTGGACCCAAGGGAACAGCATGGAGCTGCATCAGGGGAGGGTCAGGGTAGGGGTTAGAACCAAATTCTTCACCAGAGAGTGGTCAGACACTGGGATTAGTGGTCATTACCCCAAGCAGCCAGAGTTCAAGGAGCATCTGGAAAATGCCCTCAGTCATGTGGTCTACTTTTTGGGTGGTGCTTTGTAGAAACAGAAGTTTGACTTGGTGATACTTGTCAGTAACTTCCAACTTAGGATATTCTATGACTGTATGTCCTGTAGCCCTTTGTATTGTAGATTACTGTCTGTCTTTTTAAACAGTGCATATAGGAAGCTTATTTTTGCTCTCTAAACTATAGAATGATGGATTTGTTGGCCTTCACTTTGGTGGTTTCTGATCCTTTTATTTTGCTGGAAATTGAATAAAAGTGATGAAGAGACAGGAGGCAGAATATGAATTGTAGTTTACTGACAGCGAGGTTGAAATCCTGTTGTATGTGTTGTTCCAGAGCTGTTGTAGTTAATTGCTATGTTGAGTACTGTAGCAAGAACAATAATTGTTCAGAAATATAGTATGTGCATTTCTGGCTGTTTGATGTACAACAGGTAGCTCAGTGCAGAAGATATTGAGGTGCATGAGAAGGCTGCATTTGTCATATCCTGCTGTGGAATGTTATGATGTGAATTCAGTGCAATTTAGAGAGAGCATTCCCATAACAATATGAGCTGCATAACATCCCTTGTAATGCCTGTTTGAGACATACATTGCTTATGTTACAGGTAAGTGTCCATTTTCATATACAGAGCAAAGGAATGCCCACTTGAAGCAGATGATTGGATTGTTCATCTAGAAATGGTAGCAGGAACTGCTTTCACAAATTGCAGCTGTCAGGTGTACTAGCAGCAGAATGCTCTATTGACAGAGGGTCATATGTCAGTCTTTACTTCACCTAGATCCTCCGTAGTTTTTGCTACAGACGTTTTTGTGATGCGGTCCATTTCACCTTTGGATAGTGCATGAAAAAAATAGATGAGTACATGGCTTGCTATGTTGTCTTCTTTTCTAGACAAGAAAAATGGTATATTTTGATTACAGATGTGAACCTTTATAGAAAATCCCTTCTGTGAAGGACAATACTATACCAGTGCCTCTGTTAAAGATCTCTGTTGGCTAATTCTTAATCAATAGCTCTTCCATAAAGTGAGATCTGGCCTTTAAAAAATCCAGCCTGCATTTGAAGTAAATGCAGTACATCAAGCATTTTCTTCTGCCACCTTTTCCAACTTGAATCATGCTATTGTATTTTGTCCTGAAGGGAGATTAAATGCTTCTTTTGAACGAAGTTGTAAAGGAGTCCTTCTGTTTGAACTCTAGATTAATACGTAGTCTGTCCTGTTAAAAATTATGAGAGTCATGCAGCACCTGTGACAAGATCAGTGAAGAGCCACAACAGGATTGAGACAGCTCATTATCCCAGCATAGTAGCAAATATCTTCTCCAGCCTTGCTCAGACAGCACAAAAAGGGAAGGGGAAGTGATGACCCATCTGGAATTTGGCTATTAATACTCATCTGGACTGTATGAACTGTGAAATGAAGATTTACCTCAGAGGAACTTGCTCCCCTGGGGTGAGATGCCAATGAAATGCACTGAAGCTCTTTGGGATCTTATCTTTGGTTAAGGCCTCATTTGCACAACAGAAAGAATTTGTAGCTAATGGAGGGTCAGCAACATGCTGGCAAGCTATCCTGCTTGCTGTCTGGCTGCAGCTGCAGACACAAGCAAACTTTCATCAGAACTGCTTCAGAAATGACACTTGAGACCAGATTCTGAAAGGCACAGACCAGATGTTGACCTCAGTTTAAGCATTTCAGTTCCTGTTGCTGACCTTTATCCTGTGCAAATGGAGAAGACCCTGTTGTTGGAGTCGGTTGCTAGCATTGCATTGTGTATGTAAGCTTGGTTAAGAGAGGAGATTAAATGATTTTTTCCAAACTGATTCAGTTGTGCACAAACAGGTAAAAAGACACAAACATTTATATGAAGGAATAAATGTTTTTTTCTTTCTGTAAAGCAAAGACAAGCAGCCTGTTCTGCTACTTGAGTAGGAATAAAATATACAATAAATTCACAACAAAATAAAAGTCCTGTGGTTTTGATTCAGTAAAGCATAACTTAACAATTAAATGTTCTCATTTGTACGTTTGTTGTGTGATATTTACAGAAACAAAATGGGCTGTAGAAAGTAAAACACAAATTTTTCAAATTTAGGAAAAATCCCCCCTTTTATAAGGCATTTGATACAGTATAAACTGAGGTTTGAAATTCTTCCATTGGCTGCACAGATTGTTTCCATTGCTTATTTGGGCAAGTAAGAAAGATGGAGGTGGTCCAAGCATTGGAGATCTGTTCTGGGTCATTGAATGCATTTCAAAGAAACTTAGCCAAAATTGACTAGTGTACTTGATTTTCTTATTTAGATAAAAAATGAGAAATGTTGTTTCTCTGGGAGCTGCCCCTTACACTCATATGTATCTTTGTTAGGCATTTTAGTCTTATGGATTGGACATTCATCCTTGGCTAGAATAACACAGAAGTGTCTGATACTGAATTCTTGTCCATAAGCAGGCAAATGGGAAACTGTGGAGTGGGACAGTGGAGAATTGGTGGAGTCTGTGCCTTGTCCATGCCAAACATCAGAATTGAGCTGGAGGATGAGGGATGAGGAAGATAACTTATTGCTCAGGTATAGCAAGGCCTTATAATAATCACTCCTCCTTCCTTTTCCCAATCTTCAAGTAGGACTGTAACAATTATAATGATACTTAGAATTTCCACATCTAACAAAGTTTTAAAACTTCAACTGAAGAAAGGTGTCTGCCAATTTACTATGTGATTCCAGCACCTGCTTCTTGTTAATACTGCAACGGGAATGGTGGAATGGATCGTCTGCTTCAATATAAAGTCATTTGAGCTGATGTAAACAGTAAAAACACGATATGTAGAAGCTACACCACCAGCAGAGGAACTGACATAAGTTTTGGTGACAAGTATGGCAGAGAAGAACATCTTCCACAGGCACCACTTAACGGATCTGGAAGACCACCCTTGTCTCCTCTCTTAAAACTGGACTTACACTAGGACTGGGTCACTCGTGTTACAGAATCATCTTTTTCTATATTTCATTCCATTACCATACCTTGCTTCTTACATGACCTAGCTTACAATGGCATTTATTCATTCTTTCTAAGTATTTTTGAATGTGTGGGAAGTGGGATAGGTTTAATCAAAAGAGACTATATACAATCATTTGCATATTATGCTTACCTTTCTAAACAGCTAGTGAAACATAAGTTCATCAGAAAGATAATTCAGCTCTCTTCTACCTTTTCTACTGAATGTCCTGCATGATATACATTCCAGAAATTAGACAGTCTTTATATATAATTCTGTAAAAATGGAAGGTGGTTCTAATTCATAAATCCATTCAGGGGAGATACTTCAACAATTTAAACTTCTTCACTTGTACAAGTTTTTCTCCAGATTAAAAAGCAGAAAACATACAGACAAAACCCCAAAGTAACAACAAAAAACTCCAAACTAAAATCCAACAACAAAACCCAACAACCCAGCAATCTGTACTGGCCAAGTCAATATTGAAAGGAAAATTGGCTCGGTAACAGAGCTGTTAGTGCTGAACTCAGTAATACAGAAAAAGTATCCAAGCTTTAAACCTCCTGCTCTCTGAGCAGATGCTATTAACTTTGCAGAAGGACTTTGTTTTTATGATCCAGAATATGTGGTTCTTCTTTAAGTGCTTGTTTCGTGTGGAAACCACTCTAGCTACACGCAGGCCTGTGTATATATCTTTGTACTGTTGTTTGGCCAAAGTGAGTGATCAAAAAATAAGTTCTTTAAGCCTTTCATCCAGCAAGAGCATAAGAGAAAGAGTGCCAACAGATATCTAACTCCTTTTAGCCTCTGACAGTCTGCTAGCCTGTAGCTCATTCTCTAACTTCTGCTTTAAGAGCCAGTAGGCAGTAATTCCGTATAAAACTTGCCATTTTTTATTCTGATTTCTTTTTTTTTTTTTAATTCCATGGAAATATCTTCTTAGCAGATTTTACATCCCAGTGATTTGAGAAGTTGCATTCAAAACATGAGACTTATGCTCCTCCTAGAACACAATTTTTGTCAATGTTGTTTCAAGAAAAAATGACCAGTTGCTCCATCTGTCAGTAAGCCTTTTCCAAGGAGAAGGAAATATCAACACTCAACACAAAATGAGATTGCCCTTTGAAAGCAAAAAGTAAGAACTTGTGTCTTTTCTATCTCTATCTTTTGTGATCTGTCTCTTACTGTCAGAAATATGTAGGTCTCAGGACAGTAATTGTAAGGAATTGGATCAGCTTTGTTCTTAGTGCTGAATATCCATTGCTGAGGCAAAGAAACATAAAGGATTTAAACACTTTTGCCCTTATCTTCTGATTGCCTGTCTTTTGATTTTTCTGTTTGCCTATGCTTTCTGACTGAGAATAGAGCTCAAAATGCCATTTTAAAAGAGACATGAATAATGCTAGAGTCAGCTCACCAGTTCACCAGTCAGCTTATTTTTAATGTTATCCTAGTCCCTAAATATAATATCTTTATCTCCATATACAGCAGCGCAACACTAAAACAGACACCAGAAATCACAATTCTAGACATTATTGTAGTTAATTTTTTGCCAATGAAAATCGTATTCTCTTCAGTACTATCCATAGTAAGTTTATTAGAGTGTAGAAGAAAATCTGCTGTGCCTCATATAGAACTCATCATCAGCCAGAACCCCATGTCCCTTTCAGCAGAGCAGCTCTCCAGCCTCTCATCCCCCAGTCTGTACAGAGACCCAGGGCTGCAATGTCTCAGGTGCAGAATCCATCACTTGTTAAACTTCATGGAGATAGTGATTGCCCAGACTTAAATTTGTTGAGATGCAAAGCCTCTCGACCCTCAAGCGATCCAACAGCTCCTCCCAATTTAGTGTCATCTCTAAACTACCTTAGTATACTTTCACATACCACACACAAGTTATTGATGAAAATGTTAGAGAGAACTGACCCTAAAATGGAGCCCTGAGAAACCCTAGTACTTACTAGCTGCCAGCCTGATGTTCCTCCATCACTGATGTAACCCCAATGTAACCCCCTTTGAACCTGACTCTGTAATTAGTTAGTCACCCATTGTATTATGTGTTTGTTTAGCTGTATGCTAGACATTTAGTCCAGAAGGATACTCTGAGAAATTGAAAGGTTTCCTGAAATTCAAAATGATTTTATCAGTTACCGTACTTTGGTCAGCCATGTGGGTAACCTTGTCATAAAAAGGAGATTAAGTTCATAAAACAGGACTTTCCCGTTTCAAATCTTTGTTGTCTGTGATCAATGACTGCATTCACTTTCAGGTGTTTTTCAGTACCCCTCAGAATAATCTTCTCCATAATTTTATGAGGTGATGAAGTGAGATTGACAGCACCATAATTATGTGGTCTTCTTTCTTGCCCTTCTTGCATACTGGGATGATGTTTGCCAGCTTCCATCTGACTTGCCCAAGATAGATAATGAGTTGGGCTTATTTATCCCACCTTATTCAGGAAGAGTAGGTTCTTCCTTAAAGCTGAGACAGTAAAGGTCCTAAAAAATGTGTATGTTTAAGTAATAATATTTACGGGAGAAGCCATGCTTCCTAGATCCTCAATGGCTTATTTTTACTGTTTTTTTTTCTTTTTTTCCTAATCACTATTATTCCTCTCTGGGATTCGTCATGTCCAATGTACATTTGCTATTAGTAAAGAATATATACATATATGCTTCTAGGAATTCAAAGACTTGGATAAATGAGTATCAGAGTTATGTCACTGTATGAACAACCATAGGGGAATCTATATATGAAAACTGCTCGGAAAGTAACGCCTTCTATTTTGTTATTTTGGCCCACGATGTCAGAGGCAGATGTTGGTGATTTGTCAGTAGAAGCTGAACCTTCACACCAATCCATTACATTTTCTTGCTGTGCCACAGATGGCAGCAGAGGGACAGTCTGACAAAATGCCACCTAACATGGAAGTGTGTCTGAAGCAAACGTGTATCACTGAATTCCTCCACGTGGAAATAATGACACCCATTAATGTTCATCACCAATTGTAGAAGTTTTCTGGAGACAAAAAGTGGACGTGAGCACAGTGATATGATGGGTGATGCATGTCAGTAGTGGTGGCAGCAACAGTGGATCAGCCCCACTGGTACAGATTTTTATGAGCATGGCATGCAGGCTTTTGTTAATGGCTGGAAAAAATACCTAATGGTGATGTCTGTGTTGAAAAGTAGTGTTTTGTAGCTGAGAATCTGCTCTATCAAGTAGTGTTCTTGTGCTCTTTGTATCAGTTGTAGTTTCTGTGGAAATAAATAGGAGACACTACTTTTGGAGCAACCTACATATATTTAGAAATAAGTATTACAGTCTGAGGAATAATAAAACTGCATTGATATTCAAAGTTATATGAGACTGTGAAGGCTGAACTTCATGGCAGGGATGATGAATAAGATACAGAATGCATTTTAAGCAAAAGCTTGAACTTTCAATATCTGCATACCAAGTTCAAGCTATGTCTGTTCCTACAGGAAAAAAAGCTTACAGGGAGCATAGGGAACTTGGAGTACTGAGAGAAAAATCTTGAGTGAATGTGACAATGCAATTCTATAGTTCAGTAGTTTAACCACTCCTTGTACAAAATATATCGTAGAATCATAGAATCATGTAATCACCAAGATTGGAAAAGATCTCCAAGATCATCCAGTCCAAGCATTCATCTATCACCCCCATTTCCCTACTAAACCATGTCCCTTAGTAGAGCACCTAAACGTTTCTTGAACACCTCCAGGTTCAGTGACTCTACCACCTCCCTGAGCAGCCCATTCCAATGCCTAACTACTGTTTCAGAGAAGAAATATTTTCTAATGTCCAACCTGAACCTCCCTTGGTGCAACTTGAGGCCATTCCATATTGTCCTATCACTAGTTATGTACGAGAAGAGTCCAACCCCCACTTTGCCACAACCTTCTTTTCAGGGAGTTTTAGTTGGAAGAAAATTTATGTAGGCAGATTTGGGCTCTTCAGGTTACGAAGTCTGACACCACAAATGAGTTACAGTATTAACTCTAAATTCTAGTAGTGAAGAAATCTGTGGAATACAATACAAACAAAGCCTGGTATTTTTAACAGAATATAGACAATGTCAGAATAACAATTGCCTAGAAGGACTGATTGAAAACTTGATTGGTAACTCACGTACTTGTTTCTGTGCAGTACCAGAAAACAGGTGGTCCTTCCAGGAAAAAGGGAGAAACTAACTTCATTAAAAAGGACTTTGCTTTTATTTGCAATGTAATGGTGTAAAAATTACTGAGAACATGCAGTCCAGGAAACATCTGGTTCTGTCCTTCTGACATTTTATGTGGCCTGCCAACATCACTTACATATAATTATACTGGTTTTAGCAGGACTACTGCCTCTGGAACTTTAATGAGTACAAGTATGTTGCAATGTTGGCAGAGATTTACGCTTTTCTAAACTTTCTAAACCACGATGTTTGTGCAGGATCCTAGCTGAGGAATTTTTTCGCTGAGTTGGATCAGTTCAGCTTCCATAGGATACAGTGTAACTATTAATTTTCGTTATCACTGTTGCTTGCAGGACTTAGAGGCACAAAGCTCATTATGCGTAACAGACCACGTTGTCCATCATAACAAAGGGCTAAAAAAGTGAAGACAAACCAGCACATACAAGAAGATCGTAGGACAATGTCAGTTACATAGGCTTGTCTCCTGCAGACTGGGAGATGAATCATCATCAGTGGTTTTGGGGAAGATATTTAGACGTTATAGCAAAGAGGTGAGTTTAGGGTGAGTATGGAGAAGTTATGCACATTTATATGGAGCTCCGTGTAGGTTTGAACAGAAGCATTTTTTATCAAATAAGCAGATGGGCAGTATGTGGACTAATTAAAGCTTGAAACTTTTTCCTGCGTAATAAATGAAAAAAAAAAAAAAGATTCATAGAATTAGAATAGTTGTCAATGATTTGACAGCTATTGAAAAGTGATTTTTTCGTGTGTTTGTTTATTGTGAGGGGAACTGTCAAAAATGCAAAGAGCTGTGTGAGCTAATCGAAGTGTTGAGTTTTGAAGACAGTCTTGGCAGCAGTGTATAAACAGATATGTCTGCAGCAAAAATGCCTCTGTCAGGGCAAGATGCTACAGTAAGTGATCTGTAAAATAACAACCTTAACAAGAATTTTAACAGCATGAATGGATGAAAAAGACCTCATTTTAGGGAGGGTTCTGCAGGCTTCACTAAAAGGCTAAATTAAAGCTGGTGCCTGTGGGTGTCTGTGACTGGTAGGATGGGGAGAGACCTCTGAGAATTTTGAGAGTAGAAAGTCAGAGAGGGAGGTGAAGGCTGAGAGCTCGGTCTCGGCTATACTGGGCTTGAGATGCTGGCCAGGCATTTCCAAAGGCACGTCAGCATGCCTACATGAATGTATGATGATGAATGTAATGTGTTAGGTAAGGTCTGGAATGTAGCAGCATCCATGATCCTTCTCTTAATGGAATTTGTTGGTGAAAAGAGACCAAGAGAGACTTCGGAAGGAAGTAACGTGAACTACTGTAACTGTAGAAAATGTGACTTCAGAAGAAATCACAATAAAATGAGGATATTTTCATCTGAAAAAGGCTAAGGAAAAGTACAATTATGGTCTACTTAAGCATTACAAGTGACTGGAAAAATGGAGGAAATTAACTGCTCTCCACAGCAATCAGAACAAGAAGATGTCAACTTGCATTGCTACAAGGGCTATTTAGGTAAAAGAGGAGAAAAATTGCAATGGTAAAAGTAGCAGTGCATGAAGGCTGTGATGCCCCTCTGTGGAAATTTTTAGGAGCAGGTATACATTTACAGTGAAAAGCATGTGAAAAAAAACATTCTTATTAATGTATGTGGGGTTTTTTCCCTACATACATTTTGTGCTGTTAATTTTGGTGTTATTATGGTTAGACTACTAATAACTTTGAATTATGCTCACCATAAATGCTCCACTCCATGAACATGGTGTGTATACCTCTAAGAGAATTTTGAGTGTAACACTTACATTACTTTTGTTTCAGTATGTGATTAATTTTTTTTTCATATGAAAGTTTGCTTCCTTCATCTTAAACAGGATAACTTAAGTCATTCAATGCTTTATTGTATTAACATTGATAGCGTATTTGATGGGTAAGATACACAGTTTTAATATTGTTTCGAAGAGAAAATAATAGAAGGTTTTTGAATATTACAGAATTAGAACCTGATTTTACATGCGTATTTTCTGCAGTACTGACAATTATGAAGAAAAATCTATTTAGCCTAAAATGGCAGTGCTGATGGCCTTGTAAAGGAAGAGCAATGCATAAATTGATGGAGCTTTTACAGTAGGAAGGTAACCTTGGTCATCCAAAGCTTTTCTACAGAGGTCAGATGGAATTAAACATATAAGGAAACAACTTCTCTTTAAAGTCTAGCCCTGTCCCATGGCTGCTTGTTAAATATAGCCTTGGAATACAGTATTCCTTCCGTTCTGCCTCTTGAACTGCTACCTGCTCACTTTTTCTCTTAAATCTATGAATCAAGGGGGAGGAAATGTAGATGGCTATGAGCCCATAATGTACTGGAGGCAATGACCCTGTCACTGTTTAACGCTCAGTGTTATTTGAATCCCTGAAAATAGGAATTATCAGGAAGGAATGATGTGAAATGACATCAATACTGTTTTTCTGTTTGTTTTGTTTTCACCTGCTGTACGGGAACTGCTGAGTCACGGCCTGAACCTCTGATTGATCACCTGAGGCAAGCACTGAGTCAGCCAGAGGAGCACAGCTGAAGGCAATTCCCCTGTGCTGCCGGAAGGGCTGGAGCCTGGCTCCACCTCTCCTAGACCTATTTAAGAGCTGGCTACCAGTGGGGACTGATCTCTTCTGGAGATTGTCTCTACTGGTGTTTTGTGGGTGAGCCCAGGATAAGGGTAAGCCTTCCATTTGTTCTCTTTTGTTATCATGAACTACTTTGCTGAACTCTCTTGTTTATTTTGTGATTATAGCATCCTAATATTCTCTGATTATACACCTGCATTCTCTTCTCATTTTTATAACTTAAGCTGTTACTGTTTTTGACTGTAAAGGTTTCTTCAATTTTTTCAGTGTATTCAGAAGTCAAGAACTCTTTTCACACAAAGAATTTAATTAGGATTCCCACAAATTAGTTATTTTTTTTAATCCAATTTCTTCTTCATCATAACCCCTGTTAGCTTTTCTCAATTTATCTGAGATATCATTGAAGGCTGTTTGGAAATGGAATACTTATATAAACGTAACATTATTTTCTTTGTTGAAATGACAAATAAAAAGAATGGAAAAATCTTGGTCAACCATTACTTGGAAAACTTGTGTCTGAACTTTGAATCTTCTTAGTATATATTGACCAAAAAAGCCTTAAATCATCTATTCCTTCTGTATTCTAGACTTGTGGCCAGTTATCACCGGAACCTGAAACAAGTTGCCTTGATAGAAGTTGTGAACTAGTTTAGTGCTCTGCATTTACAGTTAATGGTTTTCATAGGCACTTCAGTTCCTCAGGTTTAAAACACCTGAACACCAGTACTAATTTTGTTTTTATGGTGGTAAGATTGAGATTAAAAAAGAAAAAAAAAAAAGTATTCTCAGTATTTATTGAATCTTAAAAGTTGCACCTCTAAATGGTCATTTTAAATTAATTGGTGATAATCTCTTAAACTGTTATGCTGTTCTTCAGGGAAATAATCCAAGCAGTAGAAAATAGTTTGAAAATCAAAACCCTCTGCTTTGAAATTATAACATGACACTTTTTATCATTCTTTTTTCTTTTTTTTTTCCCCAAACTCAAAGATCAGATATTAAAATGAAACAGGCACAACATTTTGTTGCGTTTTGCCTCAGTATTTTTTTTTTCTAATTGTGTAATACAATCTGGTGAAAATCCATCTGTCATTCTTCATGTACAACAAGAGGCATTTGGGCACTTCCTTTAATACTGAGTTGCGTGGTGATAAAGAACGTCTACAAATTCTGCAGAAAGACCTTAGATTGTAGCATAAATGGATGGTAAGAGAGGGGAAGGAAACTGTGCTTATATAACTGCAATGCAATTCTCATAAAATGAAACAAGCCAAGCTTTGCACAAGTAGTAGTGGATTCTAAACTTCTTGTTATTCAACAAGAGGATATTGGAGTTGCAAGTGGCAGCTCTGTGAGAACATCAGCTTGATTCTTACTGGTGGTCAAAAATAGTAGTTAATGTTAGCAATTAGCAGAGCAGAAATTCACAGTATACCTGAATCAAAATGCTTTTTGCAGCTCTTGGCTTAAAAGAAGATAATGAGAAGACAGAAAACTGAGACTTGAAGTATCGTGTGAGCTCTGGAGAAGGCAAATGAAGAATTCCCTTTTCTTTTGATACAGTGACAAGTGAAAGAATAGAACAGAATAGATTCGAATCGTTCTGTTGTAAGAGACCTTCAAAGATATTCTAGACCATCTGCCTGACCGCTTCAGGGCTAACCAAATGTTAAAACATTATTGAAGACATTGTCCAAACATCTCTTGAACACTGACAGGCATGCAACTTCAATCACTGCTCTAGGAAACCTGCTCCAGTGTATGATTTTCACCCCCACGATACAGAAATTTTTCCTGATGTTCAGCCTCAGCCTTCCTTAATGCAACTTTGTGCTGTTCACATGCATCCCACTATTGGTTCCCAGGGAGAAGAGAGGGGCACATCCCCCTGCTTCCCCTCCTCAGGGAGATGCAAGGAGCTGTGAGGTTGCTTCTCAGACATCTCTTCTTCAGATTGGACAGCCCAAGTATCCTCAGCCTCTTCTCACAGAACATGTCTTTCAGCTCTTTACAAGTCTTCTTGCCCTACTCTGGATGCTTTGAAAGTGTATTAATATACTTTTCACATCATGGAGTCAGAAACAATACATAGTATTCAAGGTAAGGCTGCAGTAATGCTAAGTGTAGAGGAAGGATCACCTCTTTTGACTGGCTGGTTGCTCTGTGTTTAATGCATCCCAAAATGCAGTTTGCCCTCTTGGCTACAAGGACACACTGCTGGCTGAGGCTGAGCTACTGTCACCAGCACCCCACGTCCCTTCCTGCTGAGTTGCACTCCAGCCACTCATCTCCCATCTGTGCCTGTATTTGGCATTGCTCCATCTCAGGTGCAGGGCTCATTGTTTTCCTTTGTTGAACTTCAGGCTGTTGGTTATTCTTGATGCTCCAGTGTCACTCTGGAAGGCCTCTCTACCCTCCTGGGAATCAACAGCTCCTGATACCAATGATCAGAGGTCTGGGAAAGGACCAAGTTTCTGGTTCATCCCATTTGTTCCTCATACTGTGTGTGTTGGTATTCAAACATTACAGAGGTACTCCTGAACCTGTAGAACTTCCTGAAATGTCACAAATGATCCCATTAGCCTTGCCTCTCTCAGAGTTCTACGTCATCCAATGGCACATCCTCAGTATTCCTAATGGTATTTCCCCTCCCCCCCCAGTATAGTATAAACCCTCTCAATCAAGATCACCAAGTTACAGGCCAATAAATATCTCCCCCATTGAGAAAGGTGGGTTACAACAGCGCCCAGCATATCTTCTGTCACAAAGATTCTCCCATTAATATAAAACCCAAAATTCTGGTGGAGGCACCAATCTTGGAGACGTGGACTGGTCTCACCATTTTCCTTTCTATGTGTCTTTCCATTACTGTGGAGAGTAAGTGGGAATGTGTTCAAAACAAAATGTGTATTTTCAAAACCATCTTCAGCTGGGATATTCTTTACCCTGGGATGCTGTGGATGCTCAAATCCAGTGAATAAATAAATGAGGGAAATGGAGGTCTATCAAGAGCTGTATAAACATGATAAGATCCTTTATTACTGGATGTCTATAAATCACTGGAGGCTAGCTGTATGACTTCTTAAACTCTTCCTCAAGCATTTGATACTGGTGAGCACCAGAAGCAGGATACATGAACAACATGGTCTGTTGCCCTAAAATTTTGTCTCTTACACTAGAGAATCTGAGAGCTTTGAGTGATGGGCTAACTGAATATTTTTGAGGAAAGGACAGGTGGATTTCATGGTACTGATAAAAGATTTTATTATTGTGTTTGTTTCTGCTGTGAAAAATAATATTTTTGTATTTTCACATTCTCCTTACCTTTTGCTGTTTTTGTATCTTGAAGCTTTTCTTTATCTGCTTGCTTTTAATCTCTGCTCCTCTTTTTTTTTTTTTTTTTTTTTTTTCTTTTTCCTTCTTACCAAGTAATCCTTCAGCCCTAAACACTAAATAGAAGTGAATACTCACACCAGTGAACATATACTGCAAAGGATTTTTGATTTTCCTTTTTTGTTCTTGTCTTTCTACTGTGGAGCTGAGCTGAGCTTAGCCTAAAGCCTATCTGCAGCCCCGCCAGCAGCTATAGGGCAAAATCAGAAGATTTGCAAAGAGTTATGATTCTTTTTAAATTTTGAGCTCTGTAATTAATACTTGCAGTTTGTTGCATTCTTGTTCACTCAGTGTTTAGAGGAAAATGATTTTTGAGGGGCAATGGAGCAGTCAGAGCTCTCGGTCCAGCTATAGTGGCTGACACCTTGTTGAGATTTCAAGTAAATCAGCCTTGTTTTCATTGGAATTGTAATACTTCTGCTACAACGCTTCAAGCATTAAGCTGGCAGTAATGAGTATTTGGAGGGGTAAAAGTTCTCCTGCTTTGGCCCAGCTGCTTGTGCAGGGCTCTTGGATTTTTCCAAGATAAAGCATTTCTAATTAGATCATTTTGAATTGAACTAACACAAACAAATGGGACATTGATAGATTTTCAGAAGTGGTGTACTGCTTCATTTAAATGGTGGAATTTAAGCTGGCCTATGGCAAACTCTATTGCAAATACTGTATTTAATACCACTTACTCTCTCACTCTTTTTAGACGTGTTTTAAGTGATATATAGTGATACATAGCACAATATTTTCCCCTCCTCTTTCTGTAGTAATCAGAAAGACTTTGATAAAAGACATAGGAAGTTTTTGAAATGAGGCAGGAGATGTGCATTTGGCCTCTGCTTCTTGGTCCTTGTGTTGAGAGTGTAATTCATTCGCAAGTTAAAACGTTTCCCTTTTAGCTCCTGATGACCCAAACTAGTTTGAGTCTGCAAGCTGTCAGCCTTTCTTCATCTGTCCTTCTTTCCTTGAGGCCATTGCTATTGATCTTATAACAAGCAGGGTCTGGTATCATCAAACCCAGCTGCACACATGCTGAGCAATTTCTGTGACATAACAAATTACATTTTCCACAGGACTTAGTCAAATGTGTTTTCATTTATAACCTCACTAAGAGAAACGCAAATAAATGAGTAGGACTTGTTCATTCCTTTAGCGCTCTTTTTCAGTTATGGGGAAGGGAGCTGAAAGACAAAGGAGAAACTAAGTACCAAGAAAAGACATATATTTGTCAGGTAGTTAATTTCTGAGGAGCCAAATGTACCCTTAAAGACATTTTAGCTTGATTTAGTTAGGTATTCCATTCCTATGTCCTGGTGGTGGTGTAGAACTTTCAGATCTCTCTATATATCCTTACTATTAGAACACTGATGGCTTTTTCTCATCACTTCTCATTTGAAGAGTTTATCTTTAACAACGTTCCTGGATAATCACAATGTGTAACTTTCTATCAAACATAAGGACTGTTATCATTTTTGTTATATATATGTAACAGTAATACCTGGAGATATATCCAAGCCAAACCAGAGTCCTGTTGTGCTAACCGCTGTGTAAATGGCACAGAGATATCAACTCTTCTGTGGTTTCCTGGGGCATGATATTTATAGATGACAATGAAGTCTCAGTGGTAACCAGTATTATGGTTCTCTTAAATAATTTTTTTTTTTTTTTAAAAAAAAAAGGACAAACAACTGTATTTCAGATGTAGCATGGTTACTGAACATAGACTATATGTTATTTATCTGTATTTTTGAATAAGTGATATGAATGCTAAAACTGAAAGGAAAGATATCGTTTTAAATTAGATGAGCAAATTCTGCATCCCAGCTAACAAATCCGAAGAGTATTTTGCCACTCTTTAAGTCTTTCCATCCTGTTTTCTTCTGTCATTTCTGCTGTATGCAGAATGCATTTGAATTTTGTTTTGTCAGTTTCTTCGTAAAGAATTCCAAGCAGAATGTAATTACTTCAGTCTTAGAAGGTACTTTCTCACACTGTGTCACTTTTAAGACTTGCAATGTACTTCAAGTTGTCACTGAATACAGTGGAGGCTTTGAGTTCTATTTATTTACTGTACCTATGATTTTCCCCTAATTGCAGATCTTACTAGTGATTAAGAAAATAAAAGGCACTTCATTATCTTAAAAGACTTTTGGTAGCATCAACTAAGAAATGATACAACCTGTTCTCTCTCCCAGAGAAGTCAGAACAATCTCTGCCAAATATTTGCCCTTAACCAAAACTTCAAAATGTTTTTAGATGCTTTTATCGCATCTAGCAAGGAGGAAAAACCCTGTTGAGTTAGTCATTTGCAAGGCTCTTCCTGTAAATCTGCTGTAAAGAATGCTTAGACATTCCCCATTTCATTTCCATGCATGCTGATCCTGGGAACTTCAGCCATTAAACGTTCAATACAGGTATTTGGAAGTTATTTTAATTTTGTCATTTCCTCAGCTGTTGCAAAATAGAATTATATTAACAGCAGTACTCTGCCAGTTCACATTTCTTTTGGTCACAGCAGCAGATTGAAAGCAAATGGTTACAAAAAAACTGTTCCCATTCGTGCTTTTTGCCCCAAGTCATAGCACATCTATTCCCTCTCTAACAAAAAGAAAAACCCTAACAATTTGAATAGTTGAGAAAACCAATAGTGAATACTGACCCAACCTGAGTTCCTATTCTGAACTTCCTGAACCAGCAAAAAGGCAGCAAAATTGTCCATCTGTGTTTGGGAGCTGTTCCGTGCTTTGCTCCTTCAAGAGCGACCACTGACACCACTTACCTTTAAAAAAGGTTATTTATATGAGAGTATGCTATATGCAAATCCTGGCTTTGGTGACCTCACCATTTTACAATGGTGCATTACAAATCAGAAGGAGAATCAGGGAGAGTAAAGATGGTGACAGATTGTAACTATTTGCCTTTTTTTTTTCTCATTATATTTTGGGTATACATGCAGATATTTGCTTTGTTGTTCTATTTTCAGAAAACTGATTTATGAAATTAACAACAGAAAGCAAACAAACAAACAAAAAGAAAGAAAAACAGCAAAGAAATTGCTTTATAAAAATAGTGCTTGGATTTTAAAAAGCAGCAATTTTTATCCTGGATGCAAAAAATGATAATTTGCTTACAGTCAAGCTCCAATGAGCTTTGAAATCCCTGAACCTGTGGTTCTATCTGGGCTACAGACCACATTTTTGCCCCAGACCAGACTTATAGAGGCAGTGTGCGTGGTATCTGGGTGTCACTGGTCCATAATCAAGCAGTGTCTAGTGGTTGGCCAAACTCATATAGAAGGTTGGAAGGGCGGGAAGTCAGCAAGAACCTTATGGATGGAGGAATATAGGAGTATAGTATATCGTGTACTGAAAGCAGGAGGATCTTTCACCATTTGGATATATGACAGCTTTGGAAATGCAGGCTTCAACAGATCTTCACGTGAATCTGCCTGTTTCCACATGCAGTGGATATGATATTGCATTTGCTTCAGGGTCATGGAGAAAACACACAACTTCATGCAAAGATTTTTTACTAGATGATTGATGATGCTCCAACCAGAAGCTGCCAGTCATCTATAATGCCCAGTGGCTCTGTTTTTCTCTTACACATACATACTTCAGAATCATCATGTTGTCTCTTTGCACTGGATGTCTACGTTTACTAAGTGATCAAAATGAATGGCTTTGGGAAGACTTTTCTTCAGGAATAGTCCTTAACTTCAGAATTAGTTCCCATCTTGTGGTCTAAGTTCCTGTGTCATTTGAGCATAATACATGGTCCATTTTTGACAAAAGTTGTGTATGTTGGCAAGCATGGAGGCTTTGGGTTGAATTGTTAATTTTTGTATTATCTCAACAAAAACAGGAGTCAAGATTTTTTTTCCCCTACTTGTTGACAGAGTCCTATTAATAACACTCTTCTTGGTATCAGAAGGAATTAATTATCAGAATAACACTAGCATTGCACTAGCAATATAGCTCCTATTTATTTCTTGCTTGCTTCATATTGTCTTTTTAATTAGACTGTCTGTCCACAGCTGACATTTTTATGCAGAGTATTTCATTTATGGTTTTGTTATGCATAGTAATTGTACTACTTCAAAAACTTCCACCTTTAAAGTCTTTGTGAACGTATATCTGATAAAAGACGTAAATGTGACCAATTGTATTTTGTTTTAAAAGGTCAGTGCACACACTATTCTCTCTGAATGAGGATGTCCATTGGAGATAAGAGGTAGACATTGTAGTTTTGGTCTCCTTTTGATATCTTCTGGTATTATTTAAAGCATGATGATAGACTTACACAGTTAACATTAATTTCAGTTTCTTTACCTTAACCTGATCTTTTATGAACTCCAAGTTTCATTATGTAGAAAAAAGAAAATAAAATTATGATTCAGTGGAGTTTGTGCAACTGCAAAGAAACAAAAGCTCTTGCTCTTTGGCAGTATGTCTGAACATCCCTCCTCCTGCCAAGCCTTTTGGAAGGAGGCTTATTTTCTGAAACTTTGATTGTGGAGAATCAGATTCTGAGTTCTTGGAGATGACTGTGGTAGGTGTTCTGCTCCTGCATAATCCCCTTCATGTTTTCAAGTGTCCAGCCAAAACTACAAATCATTATCCCACAGTACTTTTAATAGAGCAGTTTTTATTAACAAAAATTAAGAAAATCAATTAAAACATTTTTGAATACAATGTTTCTGATTTAAATAATTTCAATAATGACAACTGTTTCAGGCTATGGGAAGCAATAAGAGCAATATAAATTTAATAATTTAACTCATACCATACATCTGTTGTTAGCAGAATGCTAAGGGCAATCAATTAGTCAAACACTCCGACGTTAGGCCGGAACTACGATCACCCAGTGGATATTAATTCTACTGCTTTCTACTTCCTCTCATTGTTGAATATCAGCAGCTGACAAAGCTACGATGCAGGCTGATTTATGCAGATTATTTAAATAGAAGAAACACATAGAAGATAGCTATGCATATTTAAATGGACTGCCTGCAATGAATAAGTGCACTTTACTTTGCTAGCTAAGTTTTCAACTGCTTAGGAAATGGAATGCCTTTGTTCTGAGCACCACTTTGGGACAAAGCACAGCATAAAAGCTGAAAGTATGTCTGTAGAGAGTTTAACTCAACACAGATTTTGCACAGTGGTGGTGCTGTGTCAGAGGACCTGTGGTCTTTTCTTGGTGCTGATGATATGTGACCTTTGGAAAACATAAGAAATTGGTACTTGAGTACCATATGGGAGGGATTTGGGGCAGGGATTAGATGTAAACAAGGTTTTTAATAGCAGTCAATAGATGATGTGAGACTAATATCCACTATCCCTAATTCACAGCCTGCAGCATCTGCTCTTGTAAATGATACTTGGTAGAGAAACCTCCCTTACATTTATTCAACACTTAAATGTTTGACCTCAAACGCAGACAGGAGGAGCAGCTACTAAATCAGAAGTGCCAGGATGCAAAACAACAACAACAAAAACAAACAAAAAAACCAACTTTGTAGAGCTGCTTGTTGGGTTTCCTTTCAAACCTAGAATGAAATAGGCGCCTCCTTACACTACTATTGGTCTGTTCTGCCATGAATTAAGACTAGCAAGACAGAAAAACAGACTTTGAGGTGCATGTTTTAGTATTTAAAATCAGGAAAGTAAACTCAAAAGGCTGTTTTGTGTGTGTGTTTCTCAGTGATAAATAATCATCAGCTTTAATTTCTTTTCTCTTTTGTCTGCCTATCAATATTTCTATAGAAACTTTCAAGTTGCTTGGCATTTTGTTTTAATAGTTTTAGCCTAAAAAGATCAGTTGTAAATAATACCACCTAGGTTTTTCTCTGCAGGCAACTGAACAGAGTGTATGGGCAACAGAGGAAAAAGGGATTAGACTTCCATTGGTGCTGTCTCTTCTCACACAGTACTTCTCATTGTCTGGCACTCACTGACTGTTTTGTATGTTTTCATGGACAAAATTTGACTTAGGGCTCTTAATGCTACATCAGTGTCACAGAAATATTACCCACGTATGATGTCTACACAATTAGTTAAGTAAGAACTCTTCTAAAAATTATCATGTTTTAATTCTACAAATGTAGGAGTTAGGCTAAGTATCACCTCTACTTAGCACAGAAAGCCTTAAGTGCACATGAGCTCGATATTATGTACTTTTGGCATAAGTGATAAGGTGATAAGGTTGTATACCTTTTAGTCAAATGCCACTTGTTCTGCTGGGGATTAGAAATGCAGGGCTCTAATATTTCTAATTATGGACCATCAAACAGAGAGGAACAACAAATGGTTTATTAAATTCATGCTCTAGCTTGGTGTGAGGAGGTGTCTTAGGTCTAACAACTAAAGAATTAAGCTGAAGGTACGTTAGTTGGTATAAGAAAGTTGTGCAAGGCTGAAGACAGCAGAATGCATTATCATCCAAAGTAGAGGAAAAGATGCACTGATATCTTTATTAAGTATAAAATTAAAATTCCCAAATCTAGATTCAACTGTAATAGGGCCCTTTGTAACTTTCCATAAATTCCATCCAAATTCTGACCTTACAAGTATTTCCTATTATTTCTATTCCTCAGATGTTACGACTGGATTTTTCCAAGGCGTTCTTTGTTCTCTTCATTTTGAAGGTAACAGTTCAGAGAAGTGGCTGAAAGATAAAAAAAACAAGCACACAAAACATTGTTTGACTGCAGGTATTCATTGTAAACATTCTTCTTTTCCTAGAGAAGACATGAAGGTGAATCAGGAAATGGATGGCATTTTCAGATCACATGAGTCAGCACCCCAGAATTCATCATTTTCACCAGATATCTGACTGCGTTGAGGGACTTCAAGTTAGGCAGCCCTAATTTAATGCTCATACAACAACTCCTTTAACTGTCTTATCTGTCTGAGACTATAATGAAAAGAAAGAGGCAATTACCAAAATGAGTTAACGGAACACATTTATAAATGCAAGCGCACATTTACTTATGTTATGTAGTTGTGTTGAAAATATCACCTTAAACATTTATAAAATTAAACTATTTTGGTTATAACGCAACTTAACCATTCAAGTATCACAAGAAATACTGCTTTACTCTTTCTTTTGATCACAAACAGTAAACAGAAACTCATCAGAAGCACATCTAGCTCTCAAAAGTCAAGTAATTTAGAATCTTGCTGTTCCTAACTCACAAATATTGCAGATACCAAACAGTGTAACCTTTAAATGCAGCACATAATGGGAGACAATCTGACAAAAAAAAAAAGTTTGCAACTCTGACATTTATTTCTCTATGATTTAAAGTAAGTATTGCCTTGGTGCCTTTTGCTAAGACAAATAAAATTTTGCTCAGTCTGATCTTGTGCAGTGCCTGCTACTAGAGAATGCACTGCTCAGCATACACAGCTGCAGTGTGGCTTGTCCTGATTTGTAACAGCTTTGCCCTGCTGGAACCACCTGAGGATGGCAAATTTCAATCCTCTGGGTCACCTGCTCTCCTGGGATAGAGAAGCTATCCATATTTCTGCACGTAACACCATCACAAGTCCCTGACATTTAAACACAGATGACTCATGAGGATTCAGCCTTGGAGGATGACCATGTTGAACGCAGGTGGGAATGGTGAGGACTTGCACCACCCCAATGCTTTATTGAGTTTCAGTGGGAAAGAGGGAAGAAACAGTGATTGAACTGGCAGCAAGCTCACATAAGCAAGGTGCAGTCAAGACACCAAGTTGGGTTCTTTAGAACTAGTTCAGGAAGGGGAGCTTGCTGGCATGCACTGTGCTCCTGCTGGTGTACTCTAGAAAGTTTCTGGCCATCAGGAGAGTTTCTCCTGGAGCAGCAGATTGATGTGATGGAAAAAAATAACAACTGGTGTTTTCAATGGAGTGAAAAAAGCAAAATGTGATGCCAATAAAATAAAACCTTTGAACTCTGTAATCATGAAGCAAACTACGTTTTTCACCATGAGCAAAGAGCACGGCTCAAGGTTCACTTTGAAGCTATCTTCTCCTTTCTTTTTCTTTCCCCCCTCTTCCTTCTTTTTAACCTGACTTAAACTTCAGGCTCACAGTATCTGACAGTGTTTTTCTAAATAATGAAATAGAGCCATGTATCCAAGGCACTCCTGACGGGCAGTGTGAAGACAGACCTTCCTTCACACTGTGGCTTTTCTACCTAAACAGATGGAAGTCCCCCTCACTCCCGCTGCTTTCCAGCACTCCTTACATCCTGCCCCCACAGGGAGCAGCTGAATCCTGGCTTCTCACCAAACTGGCCAAGGGCTGGAGGTGCTGTGCACCCCTTCTTCCAACCACATTGCCTGACGGCTTGTGTGAGCTGCCAGCCCTACATCCCAAGTCTGTTCTGCTGCCAGGAGGGATTGAGAATCAGTAGCAGCAAGGATCAGAAAGGCAGCAAAACATGGGGCATTGAGATAGCAAAATTTCATAGGTAAGTGTTGCTCCATAAAAATATGTCTCTTACAGAGAAGCAGTGTTACAACTAAAGCACTGGCCTTTACTTGCAGGGTTACATGAATGCAATGGAAAAAAAGTTTGAATCATGGAATTACAGAATGGTTTGAGTTGGAAGGGACTTCAAAGCCCACCCAGTTCCAACCCCATGCCATGGGCAGGGCTGCCACCCACCGGGTCAGGCTGTCTAGGGCCCCATCCAACCTGGCCTTGAGTGCTTCCAGGGATGGGGCACCACAGCTTCTATGGGCAGCTGTGCCAGAACCTCATTGCCCTATGAGTAAAGAATTCCCCCCTTCAGAACTTTCCATTTTTTAAAATTTTTAATTATTATTCCCAACAAACAATCAGTGAGAATGCTGCAAATTCCTGGGCTTCGTTTCTAATGGTAATCACAAACTTTCCTTAACATTTCTCCTTGAAGAAGTTTCTTTTGCACGCAGCCAAAGTGACGCTCTCCCCAGAGCTGGGTGCTCGGGGCCATTTGGCTCCACAGTGTGCTGGCGTGCAGTGAAGTTTTGATTCCGGCTGTTTTAATTAAAGCATATTTCCATAAGATTACTCCAGCGTGGATCAGCTCCACGGTTCTGTTTGTTTTAATAAACTCTCAGAGCTTTCCTCCTTCCAGAGGGAGGTCGTGCTGCAAACAAGGCAGTGCTGCGCTTTGTAGCAGAAACATGGAAATGCTGCCGTAAAAGATGGAAAAAGAAAAAAAAGAAAAGCTTTGATGGAATTCATTGCAATCTATGGACGAACAGAAACAACCTACGGCTCTAAGGCAGATGGGCACAGGCGGGCATGCAGGGGAACGGGGACGCTGGTACGTACCTGCAGGCAGCACGATGCCACGTCTCCCAGTCCCGCTCGCTCTGCGGGACCTTTATAGCGCTTTCCGGGGGCTAAAAATAAACTTTAGGGGACGGCTCGGAGCTCGGGAGGGGGCGGCCGCGGGCTTCCACAGCGATGCTCGAGGCACGCTCCGGCTTGGAGCCGGAGCTCTGATGCCTTCTGGGCGGTGTCGGCTGCCCTCCGCCCCCTGGGCCATCCCCCACCTGCCGCGCCCGCGGCTCCGCGTGGCTGCCCCTCGCCCTTCTCCTCCTCCTCCTCCTTCCTCCGTCTTGCAGCCCGCCGGGATTGGCTGTGCTTGTACTGGGGCGGCCCGGCTATGGTCGGGAGGAGAAGCCCCAAGGCATGCTTTTTTTGGGCCGTGGTAAGTAAAATTAATAAATAAATGATTTTTTTAAAGAAACAAATAAACAAGCAAACAAAAACCAACAAAAATAGACCAAGCATCCTAAGCCCAAGCACGCATTCGGAGCTGCTCAACCAGTTGCAACTTCCCCGCCGGCCCGAAGGGGGGAGGGACGGGCAGCCGCTCACCGACGGGGCCGGGGACGCGCGGCCGCCCCGGCTCCGCCGCTCCGCCCCCGCGGCGGGGCGCGCTGCCGCGCCTCGAACTTGGTGGCAGCGAGCGCTGCGGGCGGCTCGGAGCGCTGCGGCCATGGCGGAGTGAGGCGGTGGCGCCGCGCCGGGAGCGGGGCACGGCGCGGCGGCAGCGGCTCGGGGCTGACCTGCGGAGCGGAGCCTCCAGGTAACACCACCCCCAGTCCCTCTCCCCTCGGGACGGTGCGAGGAGCGTTCCCGGAGCTTCCATCCTTTCTCGCGACAGTCTCTGGGAGATCGAATGCCCCGGGGGTGGTGGGCGCCGGGGGCCGGCAGGGGGAGCTGGGGGGCAGGCGGAGCGGAGCCGCCGGGACGGCCCTTCCTCGGGCACTGCCCGTGTTCTCTTCCGAAAGTATCCGCGGAGGAGGAAAACCGAGTCGGCATCCCTAGCGCTGCTCTCGGCCAGGTGCTGCCGGGAGAGCGGGGATGGAGCGCGGTGTTTGTACGGACTACGGGACATCTGCCTGCCGCCCGGTCTGAACTCCCAAAGCGCTTCTGTTGCCGCTGTGTTTAAGTGGACTGGCGCGTATCTGTGGTGTAACCCTATTTTGGCACTTTCTGAAGTGCGGAGTTCGCATTATCGTTTTGTAATCACGCAGGAGACAGCTCGGGTAATGGTTTTCTTTTTGAGAGGATCGCTCTAACGGCGGAGTGACAGCTATTGGGCATTACCGTGTCGTTCCAGAGGTTAAGCGTGCGACGTGAGGTTGGTGCAGTGACAGTGTGCCCAGAGTCATCCTGTGGGCAGTGGGGTCTGAGGAAGGGCCCCCAGCTCCACCGGGGGCCTTTCCTCAAATCCCGCTGCTGTCGGCAGGAGGGGCTCGTGTGGGTGTGCACGGTTACAGCTGAAGGAAATATCCCCAAATTGAAAAGTTAACCGTATCGCGGTATCCTCCAGCAACCTTAAGGAAATTTGGAAAGCTGCGATTTCCGGAAGCTAACAGAACACTCTTAATTGGAGGTAAATATGCGTGTTGTGAAGGTTAGTGCAGCACTAGTCCAGCCGTAGGGCTCAGTCAGACTAGGATTTTAACCGTGGAAACTGCACGCAGTTTTTACTGCAGCCCTTTCAGCATCCTCGGGCTGATACTGGAACGAATGTTCTGCCTGGGTTAGCAAAGTTTGACTAACGGAGAAGTGTCAAAAGTGGTGATGCTGCCTCTCTTCGTGGAGAGCACTATGATGGGCACTTAGTCCGAGCGCGTTGCTAAGATATGGCCTTTCAAACAGCCTGGTGAGAGATATGGAAGATTCGTGGGTAGGTGTGCTGTGCTCCCACCTTCCTCTCCAGCCAGGTAAAGCCGATCTGACTTCATGACTCTCAGCACCGCCGGGTTGCTCTCGTTTTCCCTGTCTTAAGAGCTGCGGGAGGTCCTGCTGCCAGCTGAGGCTCCAGAGGGCGGCAGTTCCTACAAAACAAAACGTTGCTCTCGGCTAAGAGATGTAAATTAAGTTGTGCTGCTCCTTCCTTGAGATGTTGTAACCGGGTTTTGTTTTGACTGAGAATGCTGAAGGTGCTATTATCAGCAGTGTCTTATTGCTTTTAATCTTTAACCAGTGCTGTTTTCTTAAAATACTTCCAGGTAGTAGGAGTCCTTGTGCACTAAGTAATGATCCATAAACCTTGGTTATGAGAGGGTTGTGGTGCTGATTTCCTGCTGGGCAGGCATGCAACAGGGGGTACCCATGCATTGCTGCTGCTTGCAGGACTTTTGTTCTTTTCTTTCTGTTCTCCCTCTCCCCAGCGTCTTAGGGGAACCACGTGGATTTGAATTTGTGTTGGTGTACTTTCATACACATGCAGAATTACTGCTGACTGAAGTTCGTTACTTTCCAGTGAGTAAACCCTGTATTACAAGCCATAAATTGCAGATAGTGAATGTGAGCCTCCTCCAACCTCAGCTTCAGTGGCAGAGCTGTGTGAAGGGCTCCAGGTTCCTGTGATAAGTGGGAACAGAGCCTTTCCTGCACGCCCAGGGCCACAGTGCTGGACACAATGGCACAAGTATGGTGACACAGTGGCAGTAAGGCCAGACGATGGTGCAGTCATTGCTCAGAGGTGTGCTGTTAGTCGCTGGGAGGGGTGTGTGTGTGATCCATCCCACTTAGCACAGAGCGGTATCCCATCATTTGTTATGCAGTGATGACAAAATTTTGGCTAGCAGTTTGGCATCTGGTTTATGAAACTTTGCCTAGATGTTTGGTGATTGATGTTCTGGAGTTGGTAGAGCTTCTGTCACCGTCTCAAAAGAATGAGCTTTTTTGGATCAAACCATTTCCAGGCTGATCCTCTGGTGACACAGAGCCTTCATCCCTTGTGAGAGGTGAGCTCGTGTTAGCACGGGGCTGCAGCTGTGATGTGCTGCTGCCAGGTGGCAGCCTGCTCTCTGCAGCAATCCCTGCAGCCTGTCAGTCCCGCTGCTCTTTCAGGGTAGGTGCAGCCAAAACCGTTTCCATGAAAGGTTGGAATTCTTAGATCTTACTGTAACCTTAGATCTTAGATCTTGTTGTAACCATGTCCACTTATTGGTTTAAGATCTTTGCTGCACTGCACTGAAGGATAGCACGCTTGCCTGGCTTTTATCTGGATGGTGGCTAGCGTAAACCAAGTTCATAACTGCAAAACTGCAGTCTGATTAATGTCTTGCTCTGGTTTTACTAGAAACCTATGTTCCAAAATACAACACATTTAAATCTGTTAATGTTTATTGTATTTATTAATGTATTTGTTCTGGCGTTTGTGCGTTCTCTGTGGTACTTTGACGCAATCCACTTCTCTGCCGTATAAACAAACTCTTTATCTTTGTACTCAGTGTTTTTGTATGAATACATGAATAAAACAAATCACTAGTTGGGAGGCATTTGGAAAGGAAAAGGTATACCAGAGTGTATCAGGAAGTCAGGTAACTTCAGAATGGAGCTGATGGTCATCAGAGGTAGTAGTAGAATGCTAGTATCAGTCTGAAATCTGTCCAGAGGTTTTTGCTGTGAAATTATTTGGTTTAGCTCTACTCTTAAAACTATCTTTTCAGAAGTTGTCTTCATCAACAATTTGAGTGATTTCTTTTAGGAAAAGTCAAGTTCTGAGCAACACATTGGCTGCACTTCTCTGTCTATCTCATCAGTGTAGAGAACTCCTACAGATGCATTTTTCTTTATTTCCCTGATTTTGAGATCAAGATTTCTCTCTAAGCTCCAGCATATGTTAGAATTGTTGGATTTTCCATTGCTGAAAGAACAGGTTAGTGTTTTCATGTCAGAAGTTTCTGCTAACTCCAGTTATGTCATGGAAATTGCTGTTCCATTTGGAGGATCTTGACTGAGGAGCTGTGAATCTTTGATATATAATTTGTCAATTTCGAGTGCCTTGCCTGATAAACAATGATGTTCAGCCAACTAGCAGTATTTGCTTGGTTTAAAAGAAGCTTACAGAAGTGATGACTTAGGGAATGCTGAAATGCTGCTGAGATGTTGTATTAGGCTTTACAAAATACATGTGATGAATGAGTTGGAGTGTGTGTGATGCCTACAGGATTGCTCTACATACTGCAAGTCATGGAGTTTTCACATTTTCCTTACCCCACCTCTTCTCTAAATGTGAAAATTGAGCTCCTTTCTCTTCTGCCTTCCTCCTCTGAATTACTACTCTAGGTAGAAGATCAGAGCACTATTGAAATATACTTTCAGATTAGAATTAGCTTTAGCTGCAGGTCAAGAATGGTTAGTAGATTTAACAGTAAAGTCTATATACCAAGAGAGGAAGTACAAGTGTTTTAGTATTTTTGGCTCTGTTTTTTCTGCCCACAGTAAGATTTTTCCTGAGCTTCTTCTTTCTATTGCTGTGAACTCTGAATGAATATTTGTCTTGTAGTTTTTAAAATGTTCAGGTGGTAGTTTTGTGCTTTGTTTTCTCCAGGATAAATTTGGAAATTCCTGCCTCTTTGTTTCTTTTTTTTTGTGTGTGTGTTGTTTTTGTTTTTTGTTTGTTTGCTTGTTTGTTTTTTTTTTCTCCTTCATAATCTGAACCATTTCAGTGATCTGTTTTCAGTAGAAGCCCACTAGGCCTTGCTTTGACTCAGCTCCTTATTTCTGAAGTGCACTGTATGAACACTGCTGAAATGGTTTGGCGCAAGGGAAGGCGTATGGAATTAAGTCCTTTCTGCTGACCCCGTCCAAGAGAAGTGAAACTGGGCCAGTATTGAGTACTTGAAGGGAAACTCCTGGACTTAACTAGTTACAAGTGGATAGATTATGTGTATTGTCTTGTGTGGTGTGTCTTTGTCCTGGTTTCAGCTGAAACCGTGATGAATATATGCCTATGTCTGTTTTATGTTAAGTAATGGGCACACACTGGGGATCAGTCCAAGTTGTTTGGCGAGATAGAGCTGCTGTCATGATGGCATGTGGCAGGGTAGAGCCAGGACAGTGCCTGAATTAGACCAAGGGTTGTTCCATACTGTGTGAGACCATGTGGAAGGCTGTAACACTTGGGCTATTTATTGGGTTAAACCACAACAGTATTATTTATTTATTTATTTATTTATTTTAAATCATGTTAGAGTCAAAATTGAAGGCTGTGAAAAGGGATTGG